AGGAATGTGTGTGACCAAGACAACTTTGTGTTAGCAGCCAGGGTTGATAAGAGTTAGCTTGAAAGTCTGGCAGGCCTGAAGGGGGACAGTCCAGCAATGCAGTGTTAGCTGGGCCTCCCCCACCATCACTTCCCAACCAGCTCTTCTGGCATGCCTAAGTCCTGCTTCCCTGAAGTCCTAGCCTGCCTGGCTCACTGATGATGTCAGCACCTGCCTTGGGGTGGAGCTGGACCCCACCCAGGTCCTGAGGACAGATGGAGCTAAGTAATCACTCTCTTCCTGCCTAAGTAATCACTCTCTGCCTGCGGAATCAGGCACTGTGACCTTCCCTCCCCAGGCAAACAGTCCTAGCCTGCCTGTGAGGTCTTAGTCTGGACCATTCTAGGGAGACCCAAGGGCAAGGGAGCTATCCCTTCTAGTGCCCTCCCTGAGGCACATATGCCAGGGCAAGCTGTGGCATTATGTTATGGACCTTTGCCACCAATTTGTTTTATATGGGAAAGACTTTGTGGAGGCATCAGTCTGAGGGAGTGGACAGCATGGGCAAGAAAACCATCCTGGCAGTGACTGTGGCAGTGGATGCCCTATGGACACAGTGGGCACCATGAGCAGGTGAGTGCATGAGGTAGGGGAATTCTGCAAAGACAGGTGTCTCTGCCCATGCCCCCTGCCCCCCCGCCCCCCTGGATGCTCTAAAAATACAGCCTGTCCCTTAGCATTGCCCAAGTCCTGCACCTTTTGGGCCCAACTGCGGGCTGCTACGATCAGGGTTGTGAGGGAACATTGCTAGCATTTGTGCCTTGTGTTTCCTTACGAGCTATTATGCTTTGTGCTTGTAACCTGCCTCCAGTAATGACCATTCACTACTGGCACCTGGTGATCTGTAATGCCCTGCAACATACTCATGAGGCAGATTCCAAAGTGTCCAAGATGGTATTAGCAGTGTCAGGAAAACTGGCATTTTCCCCTGTGCCTGCATGTCTGGGGGACATCACGACTTGGCCCTCTAACTAGAGGTGAACCAATACATCAGTCTGATATTGGATTAGTACAGATATAAAGAAAATTGACTGTATTGAAAATTGGCCTGATGTGGCTGATAATTTGTCTGATAAATGCCCATGCGTAGGCATTTATCAGACAAATTATCAGCCACATCAGGCCAATTATCAGCCACATCAGGCATGCATGCGTGCAGTCGCAGTGCAGCACGTAGGCAATGACGAGCACAGCCCAGCAGCTTGGAGAGCTGCGTGCAGCTGGTAAGTCTGTTGTGCTGGAAGGGGCATGGGGGGGGTGAAGATCAGGGCCCCTGCAGTGCGGGAGGGAGTGGGGCTGGGACAAGCACTACCCAGCTGGGGCGGGGCGCCAGGCGGAGCTGTGGCTCTTGCGGGGAGACACGGGGGGAGGGCCCCTGCCACTGAGCACAGCCCCGGCCCAACCCCCCACCCCCATTTACCAGGAAGAGCCCGACACAGCCCTGGCCTCAGCTTGCAGCTGCAGCCCATCCTGCCCACGCCTCACACGGATCAAGGGACAACCCCGCCATGCCCTCCCAGGGTGCATACAGCAGCAGAAGCCGTGCCCCCTACCCACGGCCCGCGATGAGCTGTGGCTCCGTCCGGTGCCCCACCCCAACTGGGCAGTGCCTGCCCCAGCCCCTGCCCCAGCCCCACTCCTCCCTCACCGCAGGGGCCTTGATATGCCTCCCCATGCCTTTTCCCTCCCCCATCCCCTTCCACCACAACAGACTTACCAGCTGCATGCAGCTCTCCAAGCTGCAGGGCCGCATAACAGAAATCTGATTGGTATCGGCCAATATGCCTCCTTAAAAATTGGCTATCAGTATCGGCCCCCAAAATCTCTATTGGTACACCCCTATCTCTAACCCATCTTTGGCCTTAGCAAGACCTTGGCTGTCCTGCTGCAGTAGGTGTGCTTGTGCATACAGCCCTGGATGTGTACAGTTGACACGCTGGCTCTCCATGCCTTGTTTCCTGGAGCTCTGCTCAGATTTCTCCATGGAAAAGGCTCCCCAGCCCTTCTGCAATGACAAGTCACAGTTGCTGGAAGCCAAACCACGACCCTAGAAGAGCAGAAAACAGGATCTAAGGCTGAAGGCGTCTCTGCTCATGCATGGCTGGGTTAGCTTTGGGAAACTAAGTTCTCAGTCATGCTACCAGCAAAAGAGAGGCACTGGGAGACATCCAGCTCTCAGCTGCCATCAGCACAGGAGCCAGAGGAACTGGGGGAGGTGACAGGCCTAACTTGATGGGCAACTGCATCAGTGCTGTCTTGCATATGCATGGAGGAGCCACTATCAGTGGCACTTGCTATGCCAAGAGGTTTGTGCTGCATTAGGTAGTCATTACCCCAACTGGGCTGCAGGACAGGGGAGGGAAGCTAGCTAATCCTGGGCAGTCACTGGAGACCCTTGCGAATACCAGGGCTGAGGGAAGAGGGTTTAGTGATGGCAAGTACATTGGCACAAGGAGGGGGAAGCCAGGCAGGCTCCTGGTTGATGTGCCAAGGCTGGTGCCATGTGACCTGACTTTCAGTGCATCCCAGCCTCCTGGTCCTGGCAGGGACCAGAGCTGGGAGGAAGTGTTCTCAATCACGTGTGGTGGGGTGGGGAACTGAAGGAGCAGAGGTAAGATCTAAGGTTCACCCCTTCACTTTAGTAACATCAGGTCTCCAAAGCTCCTTTCCTAGCAAAGGTTCCTGAAGTGCCCAGTGCCCCCACAAGGACAGCCTCTCTCATGGCTGCCTCAAGAGTAAAACAGGATGGGCTGGCCCTGTCTGAGTAATTAGGGATAGGGCTAGGTCATGCTCTGCTCCTTCCCTCTCCTTGCTGTGGCCCACTTAATGGCCAGGTGCCAGCTTCTCACAGCCAAGGTATCACAGCTGACTCCTGAGGTATGTGGGACTGCCAGACTGGCTCCTCTGCAAGCTGGCAGCCCTGAGCATTGCCAGGGGGTTGGTCCCTACCCTGCCGGTATCAAGTTCCCTTCCTGGCCTCTACTCAGTCAGTCCTTGTGCCCTGCCTTCCACTCCCCTGGTTCCCAGTCTTCTTGGGCAGTGGGTTCTGTCAGCCCTGCACCCTCTCTGGCCCTGCCAAGCTGTGTTCACAGAGCAGCCTGCTGGGGAGTGGAGCACGGCCTCTGCTGTGGTGCTGAGCCATTCTCAGGGCTTACGGCTGTGCTAAGCTGCTGTAGGCCACAGATGCTCTTATTGCTCTGAGTCACTGCTCATCCTGGGTTTGGGGCAGTTAAGTTAACATAGCTCGTTCCTGCTGGCTTGGTTCCTTAGCCTACCCTCTAGGTCAGGGGGTTTCAACCTTTTTCGATCAGTATACCGACAGCGGTCAGACACAGAGTGGGCAGGGGTAGGGGGGTGGCGCACAGCTGGATGTGGAGCGTCAGCAGCCGCCGAGTGCGAGCTTCCCCTGCCCCCTGCAGCCGGCCGGGTGGGCGGCAGCAGTGCAGGATGGTGCATGACAGCGCTCCATCCCCATCCGCCCGCACGTACCCCCTAGGGCCTTCTCAAGTATCCCTGAGGGTTGACAATCCCTGCTCTAGGTCCTTTCTGCTCCAGTCCAGGAGCCCTTGACAGCACCTCTGGCCCAGTCATGAAAACCATGTTCTCCCTCCAACTGGTCGGAGGTGGGTGGAGTGGGACTGACTGCAACCTCCATCTCCAGGACAGACCATTAACCCTTTCCTTCCTGCCCTGCCCTGGTACAGTACTGTTTGTCCAGCCTATCTCATGCTCTCTGACCACATCAAGGACACCACTTGCCTGGGAGTGAGTGAGACATTCTTCTGCTTTGAGGGTGAAGTCTGTTGCACTTAAAAATGGGTTTTTAAACTTAGTGGTCTGAGAATTGACACAACACTCAGTTGATGAATAGCAAAAAGGTTTGCTTTAATAACTACCATCAAGTTACAAAACGAAATGACAGAAAAAAGACTCCTTCCCACTATAAAATGAGCTATTAGTCCTTGTATTATGTTAGCTGCAAAGAGATCTTTACCCCAACGCAGGCAGGAAGCAGTTCTCATACAGCCTCACAGTGTGGATGGCAGGATGGCTTCTTGTTCTTCCCTGCACTGCACATACCTTGTTGGCAAGTCTGTCTTGCTTTATACTGTTTAATTGTATAGCTTCCAAGCATTTTTCCTTGATAGCTGGCTGATTAAGGTCCAAACAAAACAGGGAGGAAAAGGGTGACCATCATATTACAATTAGATATTGGATGCCTGTTTTGAGAAATGTGAGGTTGTCATGTACAGGACATCTTTTCTGTACCTTTTACAGGTTTCTCTTGAGATGCATATTTAGTCTTCTGTCTTCTTTAGTTGCTAGTTCAATTGAAATGCATATGTAATTCCCTTGCCTTCACTGGCTCAGTCTTTTCTTTGGCTTTCTGAGCTTGGAAATACACATGTAATGAGTGTGTCAGGTTTCTGCCAATAATTTTAACTTTTATTATTTTACGGCATGGGTCTGATATTGGGTACCTCAGGCTCCATTGTCTCAACACCTAATGGGTTGCAAGCCATTACCGGAGTTTGATTTTTTTGTGGCAGTCTTGTTATCACAACCCAGTCTTGCCTCAGCCGCTATCTTGCATTTTTTTGCAAGAGACACAGTCAAAGCTTTCACAGTTTTCATATGCAGCAGAATCTCCCTTAGCTCAGCATTTGTGCCCATGAAGGAGTTGGCAGGGCACAGACTGGTTGGCTTCCCCAGCTTTTCTCTTTGGGGTCCAGTAAGTGCCCAGGGTATCAGGCTTGAGAGATGCTGCCCGGGCAACAGATCAGGACTACCATAGCACTGGGGGGCTGCAGGGCAGGCCTGAGGGGAGACTGGAACCCTGACTTCTGCAGAGGAGTTGAGGCAGTTCCTCTTGCCTGGGGATGAAGCTGGGAGATGTCACCTGACTGCCTCAGAAGGGCTGCTCATAAGTAGATGGCAGCGATGGCTCTGCCAGTTTCTCCTTGCCGGGGTTCGGTGCATGTGTGAAGAGTCCTACAGGTGCCATCAGGCTGCTGCTTGCTGTACATGTTCATTCAGCTGGAGGACAAGACTGGGGGGAGGAAGAAAGCAGTGATGACTCTGAAAGCTCCCTTATCATGGACCTGGCCTGTGTTTTCATAGGCCTCAGCCAGGCTGCAGGCCTGGCTGTAGGAAAGTCCTTTGTCCTGGGGAGAGAGGACTCTACCATTTCCCACAGCAAGCTGAGGACTTCCCAGGCCGGCCAGAAAAGTAGGGAGGTGCTAGGCCTGGGGCCAGCAGCAGCTTCCCTTGCAAGCAACATCAGTGCTGTGACCCCTGGGCACACATGCATGAAAGCTCCAGGATGTGGGGGAACCTGGGGCTGCTCAGCTTGGCTCCTGGCATATTCAGGAGCATGAGGGAAGGCCGGGCCTGTGCAGACAGTTCATTTGGGCCTCCTATGGAGTTGGGGCCTACTGGTACAGAGGCAACTAGGCCAATGGGAGGACGATAGCCATGTCCAAGGGCAGTCAGCCAGGCAAGAGAAATGAGGGACTGAAGAGAAAAAAAGCCTCACTGATCTCACCGTGGGGAGGGTTTTGGTGCTGGGTCCT